AACACGCAGTTATGCAGAACTTCATTCATAATAACTAGATTAGCATTCCAGCTGATATAAACCTGGATTGTATATTGAGGTGACTTGCTTATAAAATAGAGATGATGTTGAAACCACTTAAATAACAACACTGACTTGTTTTTATAATGATGAAAATCATTAAATCAGTAAAAAGTGCAATCAATTATTAATATTAATATTCATACTTTTATTAAAAAAGCCATTATTGTGTGTACCTCATTCAAAGTAGATATGTTTACACTATGAAGTATAAGTTTCTTGTTTGCTATAAATCCACATTTCAGATGGCACATAGGAAAGTGGTTCTAGGTGGGTGTGAGATGATCACACAACATGTTAGGAAAGAAGAACAAAAATATTTTTCTGCTCCACGAAATCATGTTTATTTTTGGGAAATCTTTCTTATTTTTTGTAAAATACTGCACAGTTTTGTCCCTTAATGCCTTCGTATTCATATTTAACAGTCTGGGGAGGTAAAGATTGGCATGTTCACAGCTCATGGAAATATGTAGCCTTTGAGGTGTCGAGAGTTGACTTTTTTTTTTAAGGGTCACAAGCCCAAAAACGTTGGGGCCCACTTGTTCAGATGGGGCTCTATGCAAGGATTGGTAATGAATGATTTAAAAAAAAAAAAAAAAAAAAAAAAGATTCATAAATTATGAATAACATAAATTAAGAGTCCCAAATGTTTTATAGGTCCAAAAACCTTCTATGAAAACGTCTGGGCCACTGGTAAAATGCTAAATTTGAAGCTTAGCGACAGATCTAGTTAGATATAAGGAATATCGATCCAGAAAGTTTCCTGATTGACATAATTCATAATTGTTATACCTAGCCAAGACAAATATGTAGCTCTTCACCAACAGTAACACTGAATATAAACCCACACAAATATGAGAAATGTCTGTGATTTTGCAGTCTGCCTATGTGAACATTAAGCTAAACTGATTATTGATAATTAGCACATTGAATACATAAAGCCACAACAAAAGCAACTTCCTTTTTGGAAGTAACTGTTTTACAGATATAACTGCAATATTACAATTTTAAGATATCAAGGCATATAATTTAGGTTATAGAAAAAAAAAATGTCTGCAAAGGTTATGTTTTAGTAATTGGGGAAAATGTGTTAAATAGGTGTTCTGTGTATTAGAACCTTTTTTAAAAATTACTAGCTCATTTCTTAATGTTGTTCCTAATTTATAAATAAATTCACATCTGCTGCTTTGTGTAGAAACATACTTTTTGACATTGTCTTACAGTAATGTACATTTGGGTGACAGTTGCTGAGTTACCTGCTCTGTGTTTTCTCAGGTCTGACCTGGTACCGGTATATTCCTTTGGGGAGAACGATGTCTATAAGCAGGTGATCTTCGAGGAGGGGACCTGCTGGAGATCTCTCCAAAAGAGGTTACAGAAGATCTTAGGCTTTGCCCCGTGCCTTTTCCATGGATGTGGCCTCTTCTTCAGCAACTCCTGGGGCATTGTGCCTTATTGCAAGCCTATCACCACCATAGGCAAGTTTGTCTGCTAATGTTTGGTTTGAGTGATTCAGAGAGGTACACAAAATGTCAACCACCCCACAATACTCTGTTGGTCATTGTCCTCTAATAATCTGTACTAAAACAGCAAACCATTAACAGATCACCAGGACCCGCTTGATTAAGTGTATTGATGGTTAACACTGACGTTTCCAACAATTTCATAACAACTTTGTTTGATTATCTCTTTGTTTTGATTCTCTCCCTGTTTTACAATAGTTGGGGAGCCGATCACAGTGCCAAAAATTGAGGATCCAACTGAGGATATAGTGGATCTATACCATGCAATGTACATCAAGTCCCTCCAGTGCCTTTTTGACAAGTACAAGACCCGCTTTGGCCTGAAAGAGAGTGATGTCCTGTACATCCATTGAGAGGATGAGGGGGGCCTGTTGAAGCTCTGAACTGTGGCAGCATCTTCACCCCTCCACTACCATCCCATCCCTGTCAAGTCTTGGTGCCTGGTTTGGATTATCTCTGGACTGCAAACTATTCACATCAGAGCTACAGAAACCTTTTGTTCTCTGCGTCTTTGCTCTCTTTCACTCTCACGCAAGCATGCACGAACGCACACACACAAATAAATGAACACATTTGAAGAATAGTCCCCTCTCCCTGGTGCTGTCATCAGGTTAAACAGACCTGGTTGGAAAAAGTTGCAGAAAAGCTCTCATAAAAAGTATGCCTTTTTTAAAATTTGTATTTCCATTTCTCCATGAAGGAATCAGATTTGTACTGTCTTATCAGTCCAGAGGTGGGTTAGCTCCACTAGATGGAGCTGGAAGGTAACATGCAGGACTTAAAAGAAGTGCCAATGTTTTCTTTCTCTCATGCATTCATATAATTCTCCCTAAGCTCTTTGAGATCCTATTATTATTATTATTATTATATGCTAAAAGCACAAGCAATGCAAGTGGAAGGTACCAATTTATTATTGGGATGATAAGATCCAAAGATTAATTAAGCCAAAGATCTATGCTGTCCACACACATGCAGGTATTTTACTGTATGAAGGCTGAAAGTGAAGAAATTCTACAGGGTGAATTTATATTGTGAATGGACAATATGTGTGATTTTTATAATGCCATAAAGTATTAATTATTTTCTGCAGGGAGGAAAAAGCCTATTTCTGTGCTTGTCTCTCAGTGAATATTTCTGATGCACTTTTTGTATTGCTGATTACCTTCTGAGGGTTTTGTCTCAAGAAAAATGTTGTGGATGGGAGAATTTTGAACAGCACAATATTCAAAATGCTCAGGTCCATGGCATTTATCTTTTGTTTGATTTCCCTTTCTTCTACTAGTGTCCAGGTCTGGATGGGTGTGTTTTGTCTATGCAACAAAAAATAGTGATGTCTTGTAACATTTAAGTCTTATGGAAAGTTTTGAGCTGCAGTTGAAGATGAAGACTAGCAGTGAACAGTGGATCTCTTTATGACCGTGCCATGGGTGATAATTGAAAAGGAAGGGATTTTACTGGTCTTGCTACTGGTATTGTGTTATGTTTGAGGGTGTCACTAGTACTTTTGTAAAATAAGAGTATGTGAGGTATAAATTAATATATCCTGGGAATCCTCTAAATAAGTAAGCATGTGTCATGTTCGTGAGCAGTAAATTATAAGATTGTCATTTGAAGAGCGATTTCCTCTGTTTTCACCACTGGGACTTCTTATAAAGAGCAGTGTAATCCATGTGCAGTAAATTTGCAAGAAATAAACAACAAGACTGTTCTATATGATGAAAGGCATCCTCTGTCTGCCAATATTTAAATTAAACTTTTGTATGTTTTCAGAAGGAGATGTGTGTGGTTTTTGTGTCTTGCTTTTGGGCACACCTTCCCATCACTTTGAGCTATTTCTAACGGTGAATATTCTCTCAAATTTACTTCACTAGACATCCATTATATGATTTTGACTTCCGTGAGGCTGCTGTAGGACATAGACATTCAAGCGTATTCAACACTGTGTACTTCATTGTCAAGATTAATGAACAGTCTTAATCTGTGAAGTAACCAGTGACAATAGCTGTAAAAACAAATGTTGAGTAAAAAGTGGTATAAAGTCAAATGTAAATATTCTGGTCAATGTTTATAAGAAAATGTTAACTATAAAAATGTTTGATCACAGTATCAGTGCTATTTAAAAGCTTATTTTGTTAACCAACAACCCTTATATCAAACCATGCAGGGTCTATTTCAATTACACAAGGCAGAGTATTCCTAAAAGCAGAAAGCAATCAATACTTTTTGCAAAGTCCAAAGACCCTGTGCAAACAGAACTCCTCTATGTGGCTGATACTGCCCCCTGATGGGTGTTCAATATCCTGCAGTCAGGGTGAAGGTTCAACCACAGAGTGTATAGAAAGGGTTCAAGGCAAGCTCACCAAGTCGCCACCCTGAAATAATGCGCAGTGGTACCATAGTCGCATTAAGTATGAAAGAACCTTTACACAAATCATCCTAAAAGTGGAGTAAGCCCGCTACTGCTCAGATGTGGAGATCCAGTATTGGTGGAAAGTAGGCTCACATACATTTACTCAGGTACCCTACAATTGTGTACAAATTTGAGGTAGGTGTCCTGTAGTTACTTAATTAGCTGGTTTATCGACATAATATTATTTAATAGTTCTACTCAACATTTCAGACAGAAATATAGTTTTTCTACAGTACATTTATCTGACATCTATCATTAACTGTTAAATTGCAGATTCACATCTTACACGCAAAACATTATAAACATGATCAGTTTATAAATAGATTGTAACAGATTTAGCTATCCAACAGTAAGAAAGCTAGTTATTGCCTAATTAGCACCACATTGACAGAAACATAATTACAATGTTGCTTATAAGTTAATCCATCTATAATAACAATCCAATAATATAATATATCCCAATGTATAGCCTATAATAATGTAACACAAAGGAGTTATTTTGCATTTAGAGTACTTTTGGATAATTACGTGTTATTGAGTATTTTTACTCTGTGGTATTAATACTTTTACTAGTCTACTGCAGCGCACACACGGCACTCCAAATATATGGCCTTATTGATCAAATGTCAATAAAGCTGCCCTCAGTCGTTCATGGCTTAAAGCTTGTGTACTTGGAGATCAACGACATAAGGGTGACGAGAGCCCCTGGGAAATCTAATTTCTTCGTCCCTTTTTGTTCTAGCTCTTATGGAGTTTGCATGTCAGAAAAGGCCTGGATGTCACCGTGTAGCTGTCACCTGCATGTCACGTTGTGGGACGCAACTTCCTCATATTTTGCAGCTTTGACAGATTCCAGCGGACGCCCGCCCCCTCCTGGAAGACAAACAGACAATACAACCAATAGCAACACGGGCTTTCAGTAGCAGGTACCGCCTTTACGTGACCTACGTTCGATTGAGCCAATCAGCAGCCTAGATGTCGCGCCTCCCAACCGGAGACGGATTTCCGAACCAAGTGTAGCGAAATAGCCTGCACTTTGTTTACGTCCCGTTGGTTAGCTGTCAGCTGTTGTAGCGCTTTACCCACGCCAACAACCGTACCTGCATGCCTCTGGTGCATGCCTGCAGCTTCTTAAACTTTAAACCGAGTGTCCTGGATGTCGTGGATGGGATGTTTTGTTGAATGAGGGGGACCCGCTAGATGCCGACAGGAGGATGAACTCCATCACCGGTCGGGTTCTCGCCATACCCGCCGCCTCTGTCACCAACTCTGGAGCTTCATCCTCTCGAGCCTTACATGTGGAGCTCACATCCCAGCAGGTAAATGCGAAGCCTCTGAGCTCACGTTGACACGAACTGCTTTCAAATGAACTCAGGAAAACTTGGACCGGGCCCCTCTCAGTGTGCTATGTAGGAGTTTACAACTGCTGTCCGGAGAAGCAGGCCTGTCAGGCTAGTAGCTAGTTAGCCAGCTGCTGCTAGCTCGCAGTTAGCTAGCTTACTGGGAATACATGGAACTGGACTGACACGCCACACGCACACTAAAACCAGTTCGGCTTGTGTTATGCATTTTTGTGCCCGATTGTTTTTTCAGTGTGTTGACCTATTTTGACTGCTATATATCATTACACTACACTTTTTTTTTTTTTTTTTTTTTTTTTTTTTTTTTTTACAGCTAGTATGTTTAAGCTAATGGTAACTTGGCGTTATGTGAGCACGCAGGTGACAGCACGGGAAGGGAAATGTCATTATGTGACGTTATATGGTCTCATACAGCAATTTTATTGTGACTTAAAAAAATGAATAGCCCCCGTTTCATGTATGCTTAGCTAAGCCGATGGACTCTTTGGCCTCAAACACCCATCTCCCAGCCGTTCATTCATTCATTCATTCATTTGGAAACGACATGTAAAACGTCGGCAGATGACAGTTTAACAACTTTACGACTGTAACATCGGTCCATCAAAGTTTCACAGACGCTAGATATCGATTGTATTGAGAAACAGGATATCCACATTGTATATCTTTATTAGGCCAATAATCATATGAATATTGTGCAGCTTTAAAAACAAACATCTGATCTGCACACAACCTCCAGTGAGTCCGGTATGCAGCAGGGCTTTCTTCGACTAAGCTACAAACCTACATCAAAGCACTTCAGTCCAGATCAGGACTCCATATCTACACTAGAATCTACTAATCCTAACAGTATGCTGCTCCACATTCCCAGCAAGGTGTGGACTAAGTTTAACTTTAGTCAACTGTGAAACTGAGTGCAGCCTATCTCAAATACAAGCAGTTGAAATCTCTTGAACAAGCCGCAACATGTTTTCATCAAGTTGCCCTGCTGGGTGTTGCATACTGTTGGGGTTGTTAATGTGGGTATCACTTACACAGCATAGAGTTCAGCTTTCTATCGTCTCATTGGCCTGCGTTGCTTAGCGTGACCTACTCCATATAAGCAGCGTACAAGATGGGCAGAGCATGACAATTTAAGTTGGGCGTTCAATTTGTTCTTACTCCAGGAGATCAAACTATTTGTTCCTTGATGATTTTATGTAACTAAGTATGGCAGAGCCTATACAATATAAGTGCTTGTCCACAGACTTGTGTAATTTCTCTCACTGTCAGAAGGGGGAGAGAATATTCTCTAACTTTTATTAAAACAAATTATCCCAGCAACATTGCTCTGCTGGCCTACTGGTTCACAGTACCAAAAGATGTATAGATTTGCTAAAAGCTTGCCAAATAATAACGCAATAACTAGGGATGCACTGATCCGATACCGAAATTGGTTATCGACGTAATACGGATTCAAATAGCTGGATTGGGTATCTGTGACAAGGGGGGCCAATCTATGGGGCTAATTTATTCAATTTAATTACGTGTGTACTATGGGTAGACCGCAACAGTGCGCTAGGAGAGCTAACATAGCATGGAGGGAGCTAAAAACAAGGGGTCAGCAGTTTGGAGGGATTTCACGCTTGCTACGCCAAGAAGGCTACTTGCAATATATGCCAAGCCAATGTTTCCAAGGGATGGCAGAAGCATTGCAAAATATAACATAAAATAGATTATTAATATTACACTGGTATCGGATCAGTACTCATTGGCATTGGCCAATACCCAAAACCCAGGTATTGGTATCTGTATCGCGACTGAAAAGTCTGGATCACTGTATCCCTAGTAAAAATGTACTAAGGCTTTTTCTAGCTGTTACAGAGGCTTGACTGTGTACATAATTCAAGAGTATGGATGGTTATATAGTAATATCATACACTCAGTTGCCAGTTTTATTAGTTACAGCTCGCTGAAACAATGATATATCAATGAGGGTAGACTAAATATTAGAAATGCCAACAAGAGTACCACAAACTGCAGCCTGCAGACTACAGACCATGAAGTTGAATCATCTCCTTTCTAAAACAGTTTGAACAGTGAGGATTTATTAATATTTTTAATATTTATTTATTTTTAGTTTTCTGAGTGGATGCAAATGCTGTGTCAGGGTGTAGCTTCATATCAGGTTACTCAAATAAAACAAGGGAATCCCCTAGCTGCAAAGTACAGCTCTGTTTCACTAACTGTTTGAAGCCAGAGCTTTGGTTTAGTTTGTCCTGACCAGTTTCTAAGGAACTGGGATGCCATGCTCAAATTACAGATGTTCAGCGGAAGGCTTGTGACCAGCTAATAAGCTTTGTCATACTAATCTCTTTCTCACAAACCACCATCAGGCTATTTTGATCACATCATGACATGTGGTAAACTAATAGGAAGTGGGCCTAACTTAGATTTTTGTCAGAACGTGTAGTTTATAAAAAGGCCTGTGATATTAGTGTAGTTTTATATTGGAGAGCGTGACACAGCACAGTAATTTCATACTGAACACGTGTACTCACAACCATTTCTCTCTGCCTGTGGTCCACATTAGCACATTCAGAAATGTGCTCTTGTGACATTTTTAAGGGGGGTTAAAAGTCCCTCGCAGAACAATCAGTGTTTTTGTTCTTGCAGCCCTTAATCTTATAGGGAATCCCATGACTTAGATTTATTCCCAGCATAGTGGCAGGAGAAAGGCCCGGCCCGCTGGTCAAGGGAGAAGTTGTGATTGTGGTGACATGTTTGCCTGAAGCGGAGTCTTGTGTTTCCACAGTCACGCGCTGGCACACACGCACACACACGCACACACACGCACACACACACGCACACACACACACCTGCTTTCCACTCACAATTTATTTTATATAAAGATATTAGATTTTTACTAAAGTAGGCAAACCAATCTGCAAAGAACTTATTAATTAACAAACCCTGCAGATGCTAACTGTCGGTGGTTTGGTTTAGAGATTCACTTTAAACCTTTACTTGTTTAATTGTTGAAGATGAACTGATATGTGGACCTTTTGTTTTTGTGCAGAAAGTTACATGTTTAGAAATGATGGCTTTTCCGTAGCTGGCTCATTTTGATCTGTAAATTCTGCGATCATGTCATCATAATCAATCATTTTAGAGCTAAAAACGTTGGCACATTTCTCATTTGACTGTCACGTGTTAGGTAACTCAGTCATGCCTGACAGTCATGGCTGAGTTCACTGGCTACTCAGTTGTAAGATGTCATGCCTCCATTATTTGACTAACATCTATCAGCCTGTCACAACTGGTCTTGCCCTCCATGCATGTTAAATAACTGCTATTTTAGGCTGTTTATATATAAGATACACAATGTTATAATTCACTGATATCTAGAGGCATCTCTTTTTTACTTCTCCTGGGACCCAGTTAGGACTCGGTGCCTTCAGAACAGCCTAGATAGTATTTGCCAGTGAACATCACCTGATTGGAATGAACCTGAATACATGTCTGTTACGTGCTTTTCATCCATCCTCGCTCTCTCTTCATCTCTTTTTAATCTTACCCCTGCCAAACAGAGACGATTGCGTCATCTCCGGAGCATCGCAGCCAGAAACATCGTCAACAAGAATGGCTCCCCACTGCTGGACACTTACTTCACCCTCCACCTCTGTATAGGAGACCGCATATCTAGAGGTCAGTGTTAGCAGCCCTCCCACACACACCTTCCACATTGTCACTCCTCTGTGTGAGGACTGACAGTGGATAACATTGCTTGTTCTGTTCTCTACAATCTCACATGTAAGACATGTAAACCTTTTATTAGATTATATTTCTTTGCGCCATGTTTTCCCAAACAAAGTATTTTCCACCTCATTTGAACAACTGTAGCTGCTACATGGTCAAAATAGCTAAGGCAATCATGACAAATATGAAAATTCAAATTGCTTTAATTGTCATTATATGGTTTGTGATGGTTAAGTAATTCAGTGAGCATCTCAAGCCAATGTGTGATTGGAGGACAGGACAGTCCACCCTAAAATAGATTATATTAGTTATATAGTGCAATGATTTTGGACACAAGATTTAACATCTACAAACACAAAATCTGTCTCCCCGAGCTTATAATGTTGTCAGTTTACCCTTTTTTGGAGCCGCAGCATGGACATTGAACCAGTGGCCAAATCTCTGGGCTCCGTAGGAGTGTTTATTTAAAGATTATCCATTCAGGTCCTTTTTAAATGTATGGCTCCCAGCTCTGAAACAGAACGCATAATCCAATGTAGTCACAGTGGTCTCCTCGCTGTGTGGAGAACAGTGTCAAGAGTTTATCTGCTCTTCAGCAGAAAGTGGTTTGAATTCCCAAATTAAAAGCCGAGCTGAGGGTTGATTTAATCCAGTGTGCAGTGCATGAGTGTTTTCTACCTTCTTTTAATCAGCATTCTTTGATGTCTTTATAGATTTTTACAAGAGTGAAGTCATACGAGACTCACTGGTGAGTATACTTACCTAAACCTTCAAACTCTTAATGTCTGCCTCTTGGGATAGGGTCTGGATGTTGTCGTTACCTGTAGCCTGCCGTTGCAGTGTGTCAGTAATGTACACTGGTCATTATGTGCTGTGCCATGATGAAGGAAGACAAGCTTCCTGTATTTTATAGATGCCGTGGCTGACATTTATACCTGCTGCCTATTTGCCCGCCACAGTTTAGCCACCTCTGGATTTGTTTATTTCACTTTAACTTTACTTAAACTGGTTTCAAACTTCAAAGTTACTGCGAAGTGCTTTGAAACATGCTTTGCTGGATAAAATGCCAGACTTGCATCAACATGAATTGAATATGTGCTGTTCCCTTATGCAGCATTCTCTCTCGGCCTGTAAGCATCAGTCAGTTGTGTAAATGACCCAGCTGTATATTACTACGTGATTCTTCGGCCGTTCCGACTCTTATTTGCCCAGATGCAGGTCTGCAGGAAGCTATAGCAAGCCATTACTGTCAGGCTTGCTGCCGAGTCATGAGCTGACCTAAGCTGCCTTCCAGGCATGCTGTTCTGTACCTTTGGCAGACAAACTGAATAATGCACTGCAGGAGTCATGACTCCTGTCATCTCTCAGCCCAACTTCCTCCTGTTGAATTTATCATCCTTGCTGACATTCGTTCTCTAGTATTCTGTCTCCTTCCTGTCATGATTTGTCATGGGAAACGTTTCCTGTTGGTGTTCCTGTTTTCATTCTAACTGCTTAGCCCCTTTGCTTCCGCTACTAACTTCCACTAGCCTACCCTATGGACTGTACTTCTGCTTTTGACATTCTTCTCCTGCCTGTCCTTGAAAATGACCCTAAAAGCAAGAGTTTTCTCTCTGATGGAGGGAAATGGTACATAATTGAATGATGTAAATGGCTGCAGTGCTTTTTAGATCCAGTACTCAGTGCTGTCAGTCCAGAAGTTCAAGGACAGAGACGAAACTGTAGGAGGGATCAGACTTTGTCAGGTTAATGTAGAACAGGATGATTCAATTACTTTACATTGGATAGGGATCACATTATAACTTTGAATTTAAAAGGGGTACCACACACTTTTATTTAATTTTTTTTTTTTTTATCAATACTTTTTAGTATGCATATAAAAACAAAACACTCACGCTTGTATTGTCTCTGACATAAGTAGCTTCAATTAAACCTGTTATTGTTAGTTACAGTAGCTGTTATGTTTGGTATTATTGTACTCTTACCATACTCATTATCCTCTACAAGCGACTGCTAAACCTTGTGTGTGTGTGTGTGTGTGTGTGCGTGTGTGTGTGTTTATCAGAATCCAACTTGGCGGAGCCTAGACTTTGGCATGCTGCCAGACCTTCTGGACACCTCAGTGTCTTGCTTTGTGGTGAGGATCTGGGGAGGACAGGAGGAACAGTACCAGCTCCTCATAGAATGGAAGGTCAATCTGGATGGCCTCAGATACACAGGACAGCAGGTCAGACAACACACACATGAAAATGATAATAGCTATCTTTATTTGTATAATATCCAATTTTGTCACAAGGATCCCTGTCTGGTAGGAGATGTGTACAGGCCACATGGGGAGATATAAGTGGTGAGAGCAAAAACCTATGAATGCTGTTGTCATTTGTACACACAGTCTACATGACTTGTAAAACTGAAGTAATAGTTTTAATATCTGAAAATCCAACTATCAATTTGCAACACTTGACACAAAATGGTAAATTCTTAATTTTGACCTCAAAATGAAAACACATCTGTCAAATTATGTAGGTAAATTAGAGCATCACAACATTGCTTGTTTTTGTACAGTAATCACTGAGCCCTGGCCCTGAAAATACTCCACTCAAGCAGCATCTATTGTTGCACTGCTCAGAAGCACTTGGTGCTGCCCTTTGGTAGGTTTCAGCAAGTTGGTCAGTCAGAGGAAAGTGGACCTTTTAACGAGACAGGAGCTAAAATTGCTTGTTTAAGACGGGATGAACTGATGGGCTGCATGAAGGACCAGTTTAAGATAAATAGGATTTTTTTTAACTGTCCCTTTTTAAGCATTTAAAATACAATACATATAACATTGTCAACAACAATTGCCAACACTGTGACAGAAACTCAGTACATTGCAGCATTTTGACAGGAATCAAAAGGCAAGAAATTATATTTGTTCTTCCATTTCTCCCCCCATATATTTCAAATATATGTCAGTGGTGGTGATATAACAAGCAAATGTGCTGCAGTGCTGCTCACCAGGGTAATGATGTTAAAATGAGAAGAAAAGTTTGCAGACACATGTTTCATTGATTCAGTGATCTGTACGCTTGCTGCAATTAGCAGCAATAAGCTAAAATTGCAACTTGTGCTAAAATGAGGTGTCTGTATTGTGATGGCTGAACATCATTATGAGAAATGAGCCAAAGCCATCATGATATAACTCGGTGTTACTGGCGTTCTTTCACAGTGAGACTATTTTTAAAGCTCGTAAAAAGATACAGCACATCCAGATGTCCGCTGTCCTTTGTTCTCTCTGTCTCCATCCCTACAATGAGCCTCTACTGCCTTACTTCGTCCACAGATTCGATCCAGGAATCCAAATGAGATCATATTTGGATTGAATGATGGCTACTATGCAGCTGACTTTGATCACAAGGTACAGCCTTTTGTCCATTTTTCTGAGCTTCTGCATCATAATGGAATACCCAGTCCTAATCCCATTAGCTTTATTTTTCGCTGTTTGGCTTCGGGACTGAAACACTGACATGTGGCTGTTGCAGGATCAGTCGGAGCGGAAGAAGAACAGTCAGCTTCAGGTCGACCAGAGTTCAGTCAGGAACTCCTACAGTGTTTTCTCTTTGCTCAGGTAAGATTCATGCCATGTAGCTGCATTACATCAACATATTAGAACTGAACGTTAATCCAATGTATTGCATTTCCTCTAGTCTTATCTCTCATGTGCAGCGGACTTCGACTACTTATAAAGAACGATTTACACTATATTTGATTTCTTTTAACCCAACTATTCTTTCTTCAAATAGATTTTTTATTTACTTTTTTTTGCGCAGTTGGTCATGTGATTAAACTTTTAGCCATTATTTGTATTCCAGCAGATGGTGCCACAGGAAAGCCCACATTTTTTCAGCCATTATCAAATAGGCTCTGCTGGTCTTTAACTTGATATAAAGCCACAAAGCCTGTACTCTCCACCGCATGTCTTTGACATAATGGGACAAATACATGGAACATTTTAAGCAATCTATCCCAATGAAGTGACCTTTTACTATGCCATGTCAGATTTGGGATTTTGATTAGAATCAAAGTACTGATGATTTGGGGGGGGGGGGTATTGGGAGGTTGCAATACAAATTTATACCACAAGACGGAGACAGAGGTTTGCTGAGTAAGCGGCTTGCTAGAAGAGGAACTCTGGTACAGTAATTAAGGACTTGAGACAACACATGGCAGTTCTGGCATCTGTTGACAAACATAGGCGTGTTGTCCTATATTTATATTTAAATGTGGTCGGATGTAAACACAGCTTTCAGCATCACCAAGGCTTCCCCCGAGGGAAACCCACTGTTAACCAACGCCTGATCACATAAAAACATAATGACACCTGGTTTTAACTAAATACATGAATATCTGGAAGGTTCAAGTTGGACACGTCCAAAATAAGATAAGAATCCTGTTATTATGAGCATTATGAAGGCTTCCACTGGCGTTTTCCTACCATACGAATTAAATAGGGGGACATAAATGTGTCACAGACATTTTGCAGTGTCAAGAAAAAGGAGCCGGGTGAACTTAGTGGTCATGGTTTATGTTTATATGAGAGGATACCATTGCCTCTCCAGCAGCTTACAGGAGGGGGAAAAAAGCCCAGTTTGTATCATAACTTTTATGACCTTTGCCTTTGCTTCTTCTATTATTGCAGCTTTCTTTCTTATCCTCTTCTTCTATCCACACCCTGTGGGACTCTGTGGAGTTTAACACGGTTACATTGATCGCCCTCTTCCCACACACTGCCCTGCCTGCAGCGCCTCACTACTGTCAGAGTTTTTCCTTGGCTCAGTGGACTCATATGAACATGGTTTATGATTATGTACTGTAGAATGATTAATCAGATACTGTACACTCCAACAGGGATTTTCCTCCCACCCCCCTGGTACATAACCATATATACCACTTAGTTTCTGACTTGCAGAGCTCTGCCTTTTTTAAAGTGCTTTAAAGGGGTCATATTATATTTGGCTTTTCCCCTCTCCGTTATTGAGTTATATACCTTTTGTGTGCATGTAATAGGTTTGCAAAGTGAAAAACCACAAAGTCCAGCCCAGAGGGAGTTCCCATCTCCCACAGAAAACTCTGGTCTGAAAACAGCTCGTTTGTAGTCCAGCCCTTTCCTTTTGTTCTCTGTGAGGTCACAGCAAAATGCGCGTCATAATGCTCGCCTTGCAGCTAGTACGACACAACCGCCTGCTGCCTCTCCTTTTCCTTCCAAACACTAGCTACCCTCCAGTGGACATAAAGTTGTTCCTGTGAAATCTCCAATTTTATTATTGGCTCATCTACGTAGTTGCATGCACTATATAAATTTTATTTAGCAGTCATGTTTACATGCTGCTGGCGCTGACATTTTAATCATGTAAGAGCAGCAACGTATGCCCACAGGGGACACCCACAGTGTCATTCTCACCCAACTTTCTCCCACTCTGCCTTGGCCCAGAGCAAACTTTTTAAGTCTTTTTAAGTGCAGCGCTTTAACGGAAAAGGATGAGAGCTGCTTTGCTAAGAACCCACTGTTCTTGATTAATGATAATTTGTCAGCAGATTCACAGTCTGCTTTTAAGCCTAGCTACGGTTGACAACATGGTGATGTGGGCTAGAAAACACTACAGCTCTCAGATGGAGAGATGAAGAGGGAGAGTACAGATCATCAATCAGCAACGTCTTGTCTCTTTAGAAGAGTCTTCCATGTTAAGAAAGAGGCTGAGTCACATTCTACATTGAGCTGGGCAGAAAGAAAGCCAAGGAGACAGTGATGAAGATGAACCAGCTGTTCAACAAAGTTGTTTTTTCCTTTTGTAGATACTGCACTATTAATACATTTTTAGATGTTCCTCAACCTCCTAAGTACACTCCTCTTCTTAACAGTAAAGGTTTGATGTGCGAGCAGAGGAAGGGAAGCCTGATTGGACTGATGGTAGAACTGACTTGTGTCATCACATGACTATTTGAAATGGAGAGGCAAAAAGAGTGACAAAGTGGTTTACTGTTCCAGTTAATAATGGTTAGAGGCCATCTTTTATGGCCTATGTCACATTGAAGTAGTGGATAAGAGGAAGTACTTGAGTGGCCTTGCAGTTCTTACTCACCGTTTTCCTGAAAGCAAAGAGTTATGCACTTGCTTTTAGATGTTAGATAGTATTTATAATGACGACAAAAACAATTTAGGTGCTGAATGTTGATGGTTCACGTATATTGTAACAGTGGTGCATGTGACACGTGGTAAACATTCGTGGGGCACAACTTTCACAGTTTGGTGCTGTGACAGATTAAACTTGTCTGAAACGCCTCGTGCCTAAAGGGGAAACTTTTTTTTTTTTTTTCTCCCCATGATCAGAGCCATATGTTGCCTATGTTTCCTGAGTTGATTTTCTATGCTGCTATGTGGACTATGTATGTAAGTACAGTATGTGTCAACAGAAGCAGTGCATAGTGATAGTGAAACTCTGTGGGGAGTCTCTCATGTCTCAAAAGCTGTTGAGGTGATAATGCAGGCAGCCCATGAGGTCTGCTCACATGCTGGTTGGACGCCGTGGCCACTGTTCTTATGTAGTTCTGTATAATGTGCAGTGTGTGCTTGTTTTGTGTACTGAATGTTGTCTGTGAAAACAAATTTCCTCCATCGAGGACAATAAAAAAATAAATAAAATAAAAAAATAAAAAAAATAAAATTTGAGTTCTCATCAACGGGACGTTGTTGTGGTCCAGCTGGATTTGGAGTCTGTGGCTGTGGGACCACAACTACGTCCCATGTCTCAACCAGAAGGAACCAGACTGCACAAACAAACAGACCGCCTGAGCTTTAAATCAATGTGGAGATATGAATGTGGATGCTTGTGTTTTGATTTCACACCTCTGGAGTGGACTTGCACAGAATTACAGCAAACCCTATATACAAAATTTAAGAAGAGGTTTAAGGTTATTTTTTCAATTTAGTCAGTGGGCCTGCAACACTCATATTTTTTTCAGCCTGAGATTCAAGGAAATTGTATATTGCTGGTGAGGGATTAAGCAAATAATTGAGCCGTCTTTGAAGAATTTATTAATAAAAGAGAATAAACAGAGAAGTACTATAACACATACAGCTGGTCCAGAGATCTGCTTCCTAGGGCAGCTTTGGGCGTCTGGCCCCGAGCAAAGGGATGCATAATCATTTACACAGTGTAGGTTTCTATGTTTTGGGGAACAGAGATCCTCTCCCGGCCTGGAATGAAAATTCAAGGAAAGGAGAGGAACAACAAGAGAGGGAAAAACAATCTCACGGCTCTGACCTAAACCCTACATATGTGAACAGACTAATAAAGAGTAAACGGTAATAAGAAAAGCTTAATGTTGAGAGAAAAGGAAAAGGTATTAAAAAAAAAAATATATATATATATATATATATACACAGCTTGTCTGCCTTCCATTCTCACTACCTCTCCAATCCTTTTCTGCTTTTTTATTTTTCTCCTACTGTCTCTAGAGCTTCTGAGGTGCATGGAGGTGCTTGCTATCTGCTGTCATCCCAGCTTGTTGATGCCCCCAACCCCCCCCCCCCCCCCCCAAAAAAAACAAAGAACGAAAAGAATCTATATCCCAATTTGAAACTAACACTGTTTTGTGGCTAGGCCTTTCCATTTTTTGTTTTCATTTATGCTTTTTGGCTTACCATACCAGGCAGTTTAAGCGAGAAGCAAGACACTTATGCTGATGACTGGGGATCCAGACTTGTATAATTGTCTGCGGAGCGCTTGCCCCCTTTTTGACCCCTTTAGAGACCAAAAATATCTTTTCTCAAGATCTCTTTGGCTTCTCTGCATCTCTGTTGTAGTTGTCATATAAACATGGCTTATAGCAACACAGATCACCACAAAAACATCAGCCTGGAGGAAAATTGCACATCATGCAGGCTCGCCAAAGAAACCCCAGTAATCTTATCTTTTATTCTATGTAAGTGGAGACAATGGTGAGGTGAATAGCAAGTGGTTAAATGTGTTGACATTCTTTGGCAATGAGATACAGACCAAATTTAGAAGTGTTGTTTGTTTTGATTTTCCTACTGTGGTGTTGTCTGTTTTGTCCCTGGCAGAGGTGTGACAGTGGGGCATTATCCTCAATTTGTTGTCACAAAATATCTCAGAGCTTGTTTTGAATGGCTTAATTGGCTGCCTTGTTCAGCCTGTGGTGTTTGAAAACTGGTTACTGGAATGAATTCAATACCGTCATTAGTCCTTGGGCTTGTTTCCTCTGAGCCATGTTTGTTTGACAAGTGCATTGGGCACCCTTGCAGGTGATGAACACCTGGAAGACAGGTCAGGCGGCACGATGTTCAGTACATCTAAAATACTGCTTTGGTAAGGGGAAGAAGCCATTGCATTTGTCTGCTGAGTTTGAAGTTTTTTTAGGAACATAAAATTTGGCAGTGACATGGGTAAGGAATTTTAAGACTGTCTGCAGAGAAGAAAGAACGACCGTTTCGTGTGACCAACTTCAGATTTTACATAGTGATGTCAATTGTCCTCTTTTCGTTCAAAACTCTGCGTTTCAGAAACTGTGCTACATGAGGCCTTACAATGTGGCCTACTTGATGTTTCAGTCTTAGTTTCTCTCAGACGAACAGCGCACTTCCTGGTGTCTTCTGCAGATCTTTCTCTGGCTTATCTTTATGTGCCAGATGACACATCTGCCTTTGCTGATTCCTTCTCAGCCCTGATTGCAAAATTGCAGATGCTGGATCACAATACAGCATATGAACCATGGAGAATATTTATTTCAAGATAATCAGTAAAGGTAAATGAACAGACAATGTGAGACCTGGGTCAGAGAGGCTGCAAGGTCTCCAACTGCACTGTAAGACTGGAAGGTCATCCATATTCATTTACTTGATCTTAACCATTTTCACTAGATCTAAAAAGCCCCTATTAAAGATTGTTTACAAGAAAATAGATGCCTTCTGTTTATCAAAAAAATCTGTGAGTTTCAAAAGCACACATTTCATCTGACACCCCTGCAGGATCGAGTGCCACAGTCAAAGGAGAAAATGTTATTGTTTTTCTGATGTTAATCAGCATCGAGGATTGAGTGCACAGGCTCAGTCATAACTTCCTGCAAATCCCCCGTGGCAGTTGTAAGTTACCTCTCACGCCTAAGTCGTCATAGCTCGTGAGAAGGCGTTCACTGGACAGTTGCCCAGCGATTAAACTGCGGCCCTAATGAGGGCTCACTGTGGGAACCCCGCCCTTTGCCCCCTGCTGGTCCGTAGGTTGTGATAGAGCCTGATGGGCGGGCGTTAGGCCAAAACTCAGGCAATGATAAGGGGGCAGACATGCGTGAAAAGGAGAGAGGAGATAACTATTCTCACCTGGGGGAAAAGGCCATATCAGATTCTACCATGGCAGTCACCTAAACAGATGAAGCTGTCAAAACAGATTTGCCCTGATGTTCCAAAGCACTATCTCCAGCTGCTATCGCTGTCACCTCAGACAGATAAAAAAAAATGTGGGCAGAAAATATGAAATGATTTTCCTGTAGGACTCCTCCCAAAAGCTCATAGAAAATACTTCTTTTTTTTTTCGGAGTTGGTTGCCAGAAAGAGGCAATAATATCTAGAGGTGACTGTGTGAGTTTCATAACAAAAAGGATTTGTAAAATGACCCCACCAAGCTGGAAGCGTGTCAAAAAGAGCCTCTTACAAGTAAACCCACTCAAGAGGCAATTTCTTGAAGACACACAGCAAGCTCCTACCTAAGGAAAACCTCATTCACATGGCCCTTATGACCGGACCACAGGGATAGAGTTAGGCGAGAAAGAAACATGCCAACCAGGAGAGATGATCACCCATTAAGAAAGAAATCTAACCATTAGTGTTCAGTCCTGAGACATTTAGCAAGAAGTGGATGATCTAACACCAGCCTGACAATAATGAATGCTGATTGCCAGTCCCCCCCCCTTGTCTGTCCTTTGTAACTCATTCTCAACATGTGGGATTGTTGTCTGGAACTGGGTTGTTTGAGTCCCTTGAGTTGTGTTAAAGGGGGTTTTGTCTCTTTCTCTGGGCTCTGGACTTCAAGAAAACATACTTGGGAGTGATTTTCCTCTGTGATTTATGCTCTAAATAATACGCTGGCTTGTCATTTGTGTACTGATGTTGCTGTTCCCTATTTCAGTGATGACAGTGACATGGCATTTGGAATAAGGCCTCCATCTTTGTGGTTTGAAATAATTAGTTAGTTTTTAACGACTGTCTCCGCTTCCTGGGACTGATGGGTTTTGGGTTTACCGGACAACTTTTGATCTCATAATGTGGTTAGAATATTAGAAATTAATAATGATTTAAACTTCTGTTAGATATCATATTTGTGGTTTGTGGGATTTAAGAACTTGATCCGTCTGGTCTAATGAACTGTGAACTCGGAATGTTTGCAATATTGTTTTGGTCCTTTTGTTTAATGTCAAAAGTCGTCATTAACTTTTACAGTTCAGGATACACAGCAGTCGGGCTGGAACAATGGAGGTCAAACCCAGCAAATCAGAAAAAGAAATGAGGAGGGATAACAAACACTGCACAATGACTCCTCCACATGGGGACTGTCATTATTCTGACAATGCCCTCCAAACCCTCACTGTGAGCATCCAAGCTAGATGAAATGAATTACTATAGTCACAAAACTGGTGAAGCCAGTCAATTTAGCAGGTTTTAGAGACACAGTTCAGCATGGGGTTCTTGTGGTCCAGTGTGTGGAACGTGACTTTGTGTTCTCGTCCTGCAGACTTCACACAGCCCAGAGAGCCATCAAGCAGACCCAAGTGACGGTGCAGAAGATCGGGAAGGAGATCGAGGAAAAGCTAAGGACGACAGCGACCTGCACAGAGCGGGTGAGCACGGTCGCACGCCAGCAGAGAATTCCAGCTCATCCGCTAATTGCCTTTAAATCAGCAGCAGTCTTAAGGCAGCTTATTTTCAGTAGCAGTTGGTTTTTGTTTCAGCTTATGTTATAGAAATCTAAAAAATGAGTTGACTTTTGTGTTATGAGAAGATGAATAAAGATGAGGTGTTATTTGAGATTTGATGTTTTCAAAAAAGTAACACCAGAGTGCAGTAATCGCTTTGATCAGTGATAACAGGCCCATTGGCTTGTACATAATAAACATCATCAGGTTGTATTGTGCTAAATACTTTACAGGATTTAAGAGCTTGTATCACCCAAATCCCCAGGTGTAATTGTAACTGTAATGTAAAGTAATGAGATATAATGAAAACTGAAAAGTAGAGAGAGAGAAATATCCCGCCTGCATAAATGGTCATGCTTTGACTAAAATCCACCGTTTATGTTTCCACCTCCTGTCATATCCTGGACTAGGATCCACAGCAAAAGCAAGAAAGCATATGTGACATTTTTGGAATTGTCAGCCACACAGCTGTGAAAACACACTGATCCCAGGTTTGACATTGTGTTTACTGTAAACATTCACTTCAGAAGCATCCCCTCTCTTGTGCTGTTATAAAAGCCCAGAGGCGGTGACACATTGGTGTTTTATCCCCCAGGTAGACTTCCCTTTGGGAAAAGCATTTTTCTGGCCAGAGGATTTTAGACTTTACGTGCCAAAAATCATTTTGGGCAGCAGAGATATTTTTGTGTTCACCCGCAATTCAAATCTAATAGTGTGTGTGTGTGTGTGTGTGTGTGTGTGCTTTTTAACATATATACCAAATTTAAAGTGCCTCTTTAGACAGCTGTTACAGCTGTTGCTCTCCATCATGCACTCCGTTGGCTTTTGATGTAGCTGATTTTTTTTTTTTTTCACCCTACCTATTAAAGTAGCTCCACTATAGCCTTCTCAAGCCTTCCCACAAAAACATTCTTTTGCCACAAAGGATCCCTTTCAAAAGCGTGTCTCTGATATTTCCCCCACAGTGAAACATTCCTTAAAACCCTTTTCAGAGCTCACAGCAGCTAATAAATCACATAATCCTCGTCCTCTACCTTTCTGTAAAACCCGACATCTTGGAGTGAGTGGAGCATTGTGTGTCTCTTCTAAGGGTTTCCCTCTTTGCCTTTGGAGAGCTCTGTACTATCCTTCTGTTCGCGTCATACTGAGCGTGGATCAAAGGGGAACAGAGTGGAGGCCACCAACCCTAGCGCATGGCCCTTTCACCCTCTCACCCACAGTCTGCCATTAATCTGTTGGGTTATAACATGCCCCACCCCCAGCCCATGCCTGCTGCTTATTTGCTCAGCTGACCCACTGCTGTTTGATGTTCAGTAGGAGTCAGACGGGCCCCGGTGGTGGGTTACAGTCTCACACACACTGACATGGCTGTGACCCACTTGTCAACTATGCTGCTCAGTGAAAGTGTACGAGGCTCATGGTTCGTGCCAAAGCCAGCGGTGGTTAACATGCAAGCATCAGGGTGCGACACATTGGAGAGATGGAGGCTCTATCAGTCTTCTCTCTGCGACTGATATCCCTGTCTGTTTTCGCCACAAAGCCCTCAGAAGTCTTCAAGAAGAAGCATATCTGTGTTTTGCTCTGATCCATGCCACGATCACTATCTAAGTGTGTGTGTGTTTGTGTGTGATGCCACAGTCCTAGCTTGCAAACTAAAGCACGAATAACAAGGTTGAATCTGTTACCCTGCCAACAACCCCACTCCCGTCCATCTCTCCATTATCCAAGTCATTCGAGGTGGCGTCTTCCATGTTTTTTCTTTTCCAACTCCTATTACGTGGACATTTCTTAGTCATCATCCACATAGTCCCTAAATGTGGTCTCTTAAATCTCTCTTTGCATGTTGAGAAGTTCCCAACTTATCCTTTTTCATTGTATGTTTCTGTTAACCTCCAATCTCTCTCCCTTCATCTGCTGTATACCACATCCACATCCATCAGTCCAGGAATCCCTAGTGCTGTTCCTCATTACATGGTTAGCCCTCTGCAGGCTCCCCCTCTACCAGATAGAGACATGAAGCCTGATGAAGGGACACCCCATAGAGAAGGCAAGCTGTTGACTAACGACCTGCACTGTGATGCTGCTGCTGGTCAGAGAGCATGTGGTGAGAGAGACGCCAGCCGAGAGTTGTGGCTACAGAGACAAAGACAGATGCTCATCTGGAGCTGATGGCCTTTATTGTGGTATCTCACTTCGGTTTGTGTTTGAGGGTGGTTCTCAAACTTTTTGAGTTGAAATAAGTTCAAGCAGAAGTGGATTTCATTTTTATCAATCATTACCAGTATGGGTGATTTGAAATAAAACAAAACATTCAGGTTAGCAAAATGACCTTGCTTTCATCAGAACCCTTTTCTTTGTCTGTGCCGCCACCAACTTTTAAGTCTGCTCAACGTCTCCTCTCTGTGCACTAGGCACCAAAATACCAGACAGACAGGCAAAGCAAATTTCA